AGATGCTCTGGTTTCCTCCGACTTGCCAAACAAGTTTAATTGAAATTGGCCAGACATCCTAACACAGGGCCGCCTAAGAGAGTTTACCCAGGAAAGCCTCGCTTATCATCATTATTACAGCGCTGCGGGTACAAGATGTTGTCTCCCTCGCCTGGTATGCAGGAGGTCGTGAGTTTGCATGTTCTCCCAGTGGTCACATGCATTTTTCTCCGAGTCCTCCGATTTTTCTCTCCGCGTTTATAAACACCCACCTCAAACGACACCGACCTCAAACCTTAATAATATCCTGCCTCAACAGCTTCTCGTTATTTGTTTCACCTGATGACGATTGCGTATGTTGCGATTGAAACGTCGTGATATTTTTTATTATTTTTTATATCTACGTGGCTTTACCGAAAGACCCGAAGAATATATAAACATCTGTTTAGATTATTTGGCTATCATTTTTGACCAGGTCGCTTCTGAAAAATAACAAATAGCTCCAGTGGGTTTTAACTGGTAAATACATTTATTACAATAATTATCCTGCTCACTGCCAAATTTAGACCCCTCTAGGCCAGTACACCAGCACACCTATAGTTAAAAAAATATGGTTACAATTATCCAAAACTTTAAACACGCAAATTGTAGGTGGCCTTGCCGAGCCTTGCAGACATCAATGCCACCTCACCTCCAGGACACAGCGTCGCTCTGGCGTGCGGATCTCGAAGCGGCCGACCTCGCCGTCCACGTCGTAGGAGAAGGAGGCGTAGGCCACCGGTATGCGGCCCAGTGGCCGCACTTGTTTCGGGTCTCGGTAGTAGAGCAGCGAGCAGGAGCTCGCCTCCAGCGCGAACCAGCGAGTCTTGGCGGCTCGCAGAGGCCCCTTGCCGGCAACCTTGTTGAGGTAGCCGCACAGCAAGCCTGCATCGCTGCCTGCCGTGGGCAGCTCGGACAGCGAGAGCTCCTCGAAGCCTTCGAGCTCGAGATCGTCCTCATCTTCGTCGTCCAGGTCCATGTCTCCTTCTCGGGCAGAGTTCCTCCGCCTGCCGCCGATGCTATCGATGTTGCTGCTGATGCTGCTGTGGCTAGGGCCACCGTTTCCTTCACCTATTCCACCACCTCCAGCCAAAGTGTCTCCACTTTCTCCACCGCTTCCAGCAATGGGTTTTCCACTTCGAGCTCCACCGGATTCTAAAATTATATCTCCTCCATCAACTTCACCATGCCCCCCACTAAGTCCACCACCTCCACTTGCAGCACCTCTTACAGCCCCTCCAACTTCACAACCTCTTTCATCAGTGTTTGCACCTCCTACACCATACCTTCTCTCTGCTCCGTGACTCCTGCCGCCGGCTCTGTCACGTCCGGCTTCATCAGCTCTTCCTTCATGTGGGCATTTGTAGTCTCCTCCTCTTCCTCCTCCTGCTGCTGCTGTTGGTGGGGACAGCTCAGAAGCCGCGTTCATTCTGCCTCGTGTTCGTTTAATCCTGTAAGATAAAGCAGAGCTAAAGGAATGCAGACACATCATCTCAGCCCCTGTTGGGTGCTATCGTATGCTATAAGATGAGATGGGTGGTGTACAAATCACGAGTCAAACGTACATATTAAATCCTCCCCACCTTGCTTCCTGCACGTGATCCTGATTTCCATTTGTATAAATTCATTTAATAAAAAACACGAAAATGGGCTCAGGGTAGAAACTAGCAAAACAAAGTGTATGTACAAGACATTTCCTGAACACTTAAGAGATATCGGTAGGAGCTCATCTGTATGGTATGGGATTGGCCCAGGGCTATCTTGAACAGGTTACAGGGAATTTCGATTTAAAGCTTTCGTGACTGCAGCGATTCATCTTCTTGGTTCTATCGGTAAAGTCACGTAGAAGAAAAATAATAAAATAATAAAAATAAAACATAATAAAATACAATTGTGAGAATTTTAATTTTATTATTTCTCTTCTACGTGACTTTACCGATTTTCACAATTGTATTGTATTATGTTGAATTTTTATTATTTTATTATTTCTCTTCTACGTAACTTTACCCAAAGAACCAAGAAGAGGTTACGGGGACTCCCCTTTAAGATTACTCGGCCGTATACCAACACGCAATGCACCATCCGGCTCGACTGGCGTGTGACCCCCAGCAATCGTACACCACCGGCGACTTACACGAGCAATACACAGAGCTTGTTGTGTGTGATATGAAACATCTCATGCTGGGATGAAGGAGTAACTCATAGCAAAGAGACAAAGATCCCCCCCCCTCTCCCGTGTCGCCTTCACAGACTGTTGCGACAAGTGCTGCTAGCGAGTAGGAGCTATGAAGTGGGGTGGCCAGCATCACCCCCGGCCCCCTTTGTCTCCCAAGCGGCGATGCATAACAACACCAGGAAACTCATTTGAGTCCGAGTCCACCCAGAGGGTTCGTAGCGCAGCGCGCTAACCGCGGCACCACTGCTCCCCCGCCGGCTCACCACGTGAACCATCAACAGCGCAGGTGAAGGAAGGAAGTTGGATGATTAACTCACAACAACAACAGCAACAACAGCAACAACAACAGCAGCAGCAAGATGCCACACAGCCCCGCCGCGGAGGGGGGGCCGCGTTGTGAGACGCAGCCGAGGCTCGTGAACACGGTGCCACTTTCACGACCAACATCACCGACCGACCTTCATTGATGTCGGAGTGGAGGGGCTGCGACCCTCCCTCTGTCTCTGTGTGTCTCTGTGTGTCTGTCTCTGTGTCTCTCCGCTCCACTTCCCCCTTCACGTCGCCAACATCGGAGCGCTCGGAATTTCAGACGACGCCGGGCGGAGAGGGGGGAGGGAGGAGGGGGGGAGGAGCGTGGGTGGGAGGGGGGTGGGAGGAGGAGGGGGTGGAGGAGGGGGGGGAGGGAGGGGGAAGGGAGGAGGGGGGGAGGAGCGGGGGGAGGGAGGAGGGGGGGGAGGGAGGGGGAGGAGCGGGGGAGGGAGGGAGGAGCGGGGGAGGGAGGAGCGTGGGTGGGAGGGGGGTGGGAGGAGGGGGGAGGAGGGGGGTGGGAGGAGGGGGGAGGAGCGGGGGAGGAGCGGGGGGAGGGAGGAGGGGGGGAGGGGGAGGAGCGGGGGAGGGAGGAGGAGCGGGGGAGGGAGGAGCGTGGGTGGGAGGGGGGTGGGAGGAGGGGGGAGGAGGGGGGTGGGAGGAGGGGGGTGGGAGGAGGGGAGGGAGGAGGGGGGAGGAGCGGGGGGAGGGAGGAGGGGGGGGAGGAGCGGAGGAGGGAGGGGAGGAGCGGGAGGAGGGAGGGGGGAGGAGCGGGGGGAATGTAGGAGGGGGGGAGGAGGGGGGGGGAGGAGCGGGGGGAGGGAGGAGGGGGGAGGAGCGTGTGTGGGAGGGGGGGGTGGAGAGGGTGGGAGGGGGTGGATATTTTTTAGCCTTAACAAACTGTAAGGGCAAGTGCTGTTAGCGAGCACATATTAAGGGCAGAACACGAGGAGGTGGAGTGGCCAACACCACGCCCGGCCGCCTTTATCTCCCCAGCGGCGATGTTTACTCATCACACAGGTACTCATTTTTGAGGCTGAGTCGACCTTGGGGAGGCCCAGAGCCAGTTCAGATAATTGTCACTTGGCGTTGGCCGTGAGCGGGAATCGAACCCGGGTGACCAGGTTCGTAGCGCAGCGCGCTAACCGCTGCACCACCGCTCCCCACGCCACGTGCACTCAGAGTCAGTTTCGCGTTCAGCGGTTTTATTATGTTTTAGGACGCACGCAAGTTTAATGTTTTTTCAGTATTTTAAGTTGAATTTATTAGGTAGAGCCCCGTGAGCCATTCGGCTCTTGAATCGGGTGCAACCGCAACAAACAAAAACATGAACAACATCTTAAAGTGACTTTGCGCATTCTAGATTTGAAGTTTTCGTGACTGCAAGAATCCATTCTCTTTGGTTCCCCCCCGCCCCCACTCTGTATGTCAGCATGTTTAGTGTCTTGTTGTCCATTGCGGCATGTTTAGTGTCGTGTTGTCCATTGCGGCATGTTTAGTGTCGTGTTGTCCATTGCGGCATGTTTAGTGTCTTCCCTTTTATCTCTTTGATCTCCCTGCGCCCCACGCACCCCACCCCCCACTCTGTTATCTCCTCCTTGGCGCCTCCCACCCCTCATTTATATTCATGTAGCGTCTTATTATTGGTTCTTTCGGTAAAGTCACGTAGAAGGGAAATAATAAAATAATACAAATGTAAACAATAAAAATTATCACGACGTTTCGACTGCAACACAATCGTCATAATGTGTGATTATTATTGAACATCACGTTGAGTGCAAAGAATTTGCACTGAACATGATGATGCACCGATAACGGGTGCGTCATTACGTCATCACGTAACAACGTTGACTTTGCACTGAATGTGATGACGCGTTCATAACGGACCTGCGTGATTACGTCATTACGTCATCACGTAACACAACGTTGACTTTGCACTGAACGTGATGACGCGAATATAACGGACCTGCGTCATTACGTCATCACGTAATACAACGTTGACTGCACTGAACGTGATGACGCGATTATAACGGACCGGCGTCATTACGTCATCACGTAACACAACGTTGACTTTGTACTGAACGTGATGACGCGATAACGGACCTGCGTCATTAGGTCATCACGTAACAACGTCGACTTTGCACTGAACGTGATGACGCGTATATAACGGATCTGCGTGATTACGTCATCACGTAACACAACGTCGACTTTGCACTGAACGTGATGACGCGATTATAACCGACCTGCGTGATTACGTCATCACGTAACACAACGTTGACTTTGCACTGAACGTGACGCGCTATAACGGGCGCGCGTCATTACGTCATCACGTAACGTTGACTTTGCACTGAACGTGACGCGCTATAACGGGCGCGCGTCATTACGTCATGACGTAACAACGTTGACTTTGCACTGAACGTGATGACGCAACGATAACGGGCGCGCGTCATGACGTCATCACGCACGCCTACGGGTCGCGCCTTGTCGCTGTCTGCGATTTGTGTTTTTTTTCGCGAAGCGGAAATTGACGCCCGCACTTTGACGCGAGTGGGCGAGTCACATCGGAGTTGGCACAAAAGCGCGTTCGTCTTCACGTTTACCCCAGCGACCGCATGTGTCCAAGATCCGCGACGTTACAACACTAATTACATCTCACAGCGCAGCGTAGAATAAAGATTTAAGACGAGCCTCAGGCGAAGTGCAACGCTTTGTACCCGAGAGAACGCCAGGCCGCAACACACTCCGCGCCTTCTATCGTAGTAAAGTATGTTACATCAAGATGCACGTACACTACTACTAAACAGACACGCGTATTGTTACCGGCGTTATTAGCGCCGTGTCGCCTTCACTCGCGTCGATGAGAGCCTCGGAGCTGTGAGATGATTTGTATTCGTGGTGGTGGTTTATTAGAGGATCTCTCCTCCCTCCTCTTACTGCTAATGAATGTTCAACCTGTGTCTCTCTCTGAACAACAACAACAACAGCAGCAGCAGATACAACGAAGTGGATCTTCACGGACGGACAACCTGAGCGCACTCAGAACAAAGTCATGCCGCTGGCCACTTTCTTCGGATGTACCTTCATCGCTTTTGGGCCGGCGTTTGCGCTATTCATCCTCACGGTGGCAAGAGATCCTCTTAGGGTCATCATCCTCATTGCAGGGTCCGTGTTCTCTCCCCTCTCTCTCTTGTCTTCTCTCTCTCGAGGGGTTTCGTCGAGGGTGGAGAGGGGGGTGTTTGTTTACTTGTCTTTGCTTGCACCCCGTGTGCTTGTTGCGCCTGATGAATGGTTTGGGTTGCTGAGTGGACGATTATTGTGATTCATCTTCTTGGTTCTTTCGGTAAAGTCACGTAGAAGGGAAATAATAAAATAATATTAATATAAAATAATGAAAATTCTCACGACGTTTCGACTGCAACACAAGCAATTATCATCAGGTGTGAAATCCACAGCAATAAAATTTGAAGAAAAAAAAATTCTTGCTGTTGATCTCACACCTGATGATGATTGCTTGTGTTGCAGCCGAAACGTCGCGATAATTTGTATTGTTTTATATTTGTATTATTTCCCTTCTACGTGACTTTACCGAAAGAACCAAGAATAGGAATCCCTGCAGTCACGAAAGCTTTAAATCAAGATTATTGTGATGTTGAACACGGAGGCTTTCGCGATCAATATCCATCATGTTGGGTTTTTTGGGTCGGATCGCGTAAATGTGTCGATACAACCAATTAGTAAGGGTTGTCATGTAAACACAACGTGCCAATTCGTTACAAGTACAGCATCACCGGCGTGTTGGAGAGCAAATCCACAACATTTGCAATCTGAGTTCGACGTTTCGCCAGTAATTACAACCAGCATCATCAGGCGGACTGCCAGACGTCAAATCTGGCTGTCCGCCTGATGATGGCGGTTGTAATTACTGGCGAAACGTCGTACTCCGATTATAAATGTTGTGGATTTGCTCTCCAAAACACTGGTGTGCTGTTCTAGTGACGAATTGGCACGTTCTGTTTACATGACAACCCTTACTAATTGTCTGTGTCGTGTGGTGGCGGGTTTAACGACACATTTCTATTTACGCGATCCAACCCAGAAAAAGACCTATATTATGAATTATTGTGAAGGTTTCTTTATGGTACCCAATGAATGTCTAGGTGAGAGAGGAAATTGAGGGGAGTTGTTTGTGAGACCAGTTAGTCTCTTGTAACCTGAATGTTAACGTATAATATGAAACTTGTTTTATGATATAAGAGGTTGTAAGCCTACCTTGTGCAGCAAATGCTTTCGTTGGTACTATGCTCCCACATATATGCTCCCCCACCTGCAACAACACCTTCAGTGCTAGCACGCTGCGGTGTGAACCCTTTGACCTGAGTTATGTTTGTGGCCACTGCTAACATCAGTGGCGAATAGTAACGGAGCCGGCTCTGGACCAACCTGCACTACTCATTGTGGAGAAATAAGATACACCTGCACAGCACGCTTTGCTTGAAGAGGCCCTAATCCAGCAGATTATTGACAGATGGTTGTACATATATACAAGGGGTTTAAGACCAGGAGTCTCTTTTAGCCTGAATGGTCTCGTTCATGATATAGATTTACTCAACACGTAGATTTTTTTCGCCAATATTCCGATTCATAATTGTCCTATGGGCCAGGCCACGTCATCTGGATGTTATTCGGAATTCCTATATTCTTCCTAAAGATGCGTAACAGTCGCAAGCGAAATGTATTTAATTGCAGGCTTAAACTATAATTGTCGCATTAAATGTTTGTGCAAGTGACAATTACATACAGTACATTTATTTGCCCATGTTGGATGGTGGAAGGTTTTAGGGCAGAAATGTTGCAGATTAAATCATAGCCAAACCCAAAAATCTATTCTAAATTAGACATAGATTGAGAATACATTTTGGGATGTTTGTCTGATTCCATTTCAATGAGTTTTATGTGTGGGTGGAAACTGAAGTACTGTACCTGGAAAAACACATGCATAGGAGTTGATAACACTCTTAAGATCAAACAGATGGGTTGATGAAGTTGCTGTACTTTTGGTACTGCCATTTCCTGACCACCTTGCAGTCCAATGGGTTTCAGAGTTTGACAGATCCATACTCGGTTTAACACGTAGGCTTTCATGACCAATATTCCTAATAGAGGTTTTTTGGGTTCACCAACACTTGCAACCAAAATGCTGCATTTCAGGTTTGCGCCACCACATTTACAGTCAAAAGGTTTGCCAGTGAAGATATTTTGGAGTTACATATATCTGATTGCTGTGCACAATTTCACTTCTCTAAAATGAGAAATGTGCATTTGTTTTTCAGGGCCTTCTTCTGGCTAGTCTCTCTGCTCTTATCGTCGCTGGTGTGGTTCATCGCCACGAAGGCAAGCGATCGAAAGAATGAGGAGCTGCAGCATGGCCTGCTCATCTTCGGCGTGCTGCTCTCCGTGCTCTTCCAGGAGGTCTTCCGATATGGTTACTACCGCCTCCTGCGGTGCGTAGAGCCTCCCTGGCTCGCTTCCGTGCACCGATCCACCACGCCCTAACAGAGAGCGGCTTTAAACCAGGGCTGGGGGGTACCTATAAGGACCTTCTCCGCTTCACGCAGCCCCTGACCACAGGAGGCCTACCACTTTGAAACAGCCTGTAAACAATAGTTTTCTGTCATAAGCATCTCAACTACACCATTCAGCTACGAGAGGGGAATTAATATTTTTTACCTGACAATTTTTTAGCTTGGTCGGCTGGCCACCTGTTAAATTTTAAATAAGTCTGAGCACACAGTCAATGAAAATAGTCCTAGTGTGATCAAAGTTTAGTGTCCAATAATGTGTGGCCCTCTTATGGTGCTCGAGTTATGAGACTTGCTTGGGGCGAATTTCACCTGTACATGTTCACTTTTGCAGGTTGCAACAGGATAGGTCCCTGAATCTATTTCTCTTTTTGTGCATATTGAGTGGATTTAAGTAAAGTCACTAAAATGGTTTTGACCGTATATAGTGACTACTGGCTAATTATTAATTATATATACCATAATAAAGGAACTCAAATCATGGTTTGGGTTATGGCCCTTTAAAAATTAAAAGGCAAAGTTAAGTAATACAATGTCAGAAATTGCTTTGTTTTGAATTGTCATACCAAGAATGTGTCTTAAGTACCTGACATTGGATACTGGAAGAGAGGGCTACATGAAGGGGATTACAGTGAGATCGAAGTGAGAGTTGGGGTGAGTTACCAAGCCATATGCAACTCTCCCTAGGCATGACTGTATTCAGGATGTGAGTTTTTGCATTTGGGGGTTTAAAACATTGTTTATTGCAGTTTGGTGAATGTTAAATTTTTTATAGCACCTCTTCCTGGGCCAGCCGCCCGAGCAATGTGTTGTACAGTCCCCGCGGCAGGTTTGAACAACAATTGATGCCAGTCACGTGATGCATGTAATGCAATCAATCATTGTGTCATTTTAACCACATACATATACCATATGGAATAAAGGAGTGAGATTGCAGGTTCACATTGAACAACTAATGCGGCAGTGGATTCATAAAAGGGTTGTATTTGTACATTCCTTGTTTAACATGTAGCCAATGCTTTGATACTACATTTAGTGTCATGTCTATTGTCTTCAATTTGTCGAGCCTTTATTAATTTTAATGAACATAAACATAGAAAGTGGCTGCTTTGGTTTAAATAAATGACAAGGGAAAATGTGCACATGTTGTTGTCCACTTGAGCATCATTTTGGTGTATTTATTTGCAACACATGGCGCCAACGTACCCAGCCACGTCGAACGAATTCACTTTGTGGGTTAGATGATTCCAAAGTGTCTCAAGCTATTTACAGGCGTTTGATGATTACATAATTGGCAACACATTAGTAAAAGTAATTATAAATACTGGATGTTCCATGTCAGGTAAATGGAAATCGAATTGCAGCTTGCTGTTAGTGTATCGCTGGCATGGTGGTTAATGAGTCTTTCCTTATCTGTGTAGGAAAGCTCAGGATGGCTTGGTCACATTCAGCCAAGACAATAGGCCTCCCATCAGCATGCAAGAGATGGCGTATGGTAAGGCACTGTGTTTATTTTTATCCGTGAAAATTAGAGCGGATGTTGCTTTAAACCTTGATAAAACAGTGTTCGCATCAAATATAAATGACAAGCAAATCTTATGTTTAAGTTAATAGAGATAAACTAAAGCAATATGATATAAGACAATATAAACTCGACAAAAATAATCGATCGTTGAATCGAATCCTCGTCCCTTAATTCTGATATTTCATTGTATTGCGGGGAGGATCAACCATTCCAAGCCTACTAAATGAGTAAGATTACTTGTCTGTATTTTCATGAATTGAAACATGCCCATCCCTGCAGTGGCCGGCTTGGGATTTGGAATAATCAGTGGGGCTTTCTCGGTCGTGAACATCCTGGCGCAGTCGATCGGGCCTGGAACTGTCGGGATTCGCCAAGACTCTGAGTACTTCTTCCTCACTTCGGGTGAGATCCTCTGACATGTACCTGTGAGCACTACGGGACAAGTCAACAGCACCTCCGCCAATTAACCAGCAGGTGGCATGAGCATCCTTTGACAGCGCTATTCCATCCAAACAACGGTTCATTCTGAACTATAGCTGCCTAAATCGCTATATTTTGGCATTCTTGCAAGACCTGAAATTTCATTGATGGGTAATTTTATTATTATTTATATTCAGGTAATGATTTGCCTTTAAAACACGCGTGTGTTTGTGTGTGAAAGTGCAGCGGTTTGTGTACTGCGCTTAGTTACAGAGACCTGGCTTCGATACATGAAATCTGAAGCTGTATGAGGCCACCCATTGCTCCACTCAGCCTTAAATGAGTACCTGGTGTGGTGTATAAAGAACACTGAAGAGGCAAATGTGGCTGGGCATCGTGGTAGCCACACCACACCCCGACTCTTGTGGGTGCTTGTGAACAATACTTGTTATCTGGCTAATTGGGGGATCTTTGTTGCGTGTGTGTGCAGCATTCCTGACGTTGGCAGTGATTCTTCTGCACATGTGCTGGGGTGTCGTGTTCTTCGACGGTTGCCAACAGAGCCGCGTTTGGGCCGTGCTTTTAGTCATTGCCTTGCATTTCCTCGTCTCGTCTATGGTTAGTTGTTTGCAAGGATGCCATCATCACTTCCTCACCACCAACTCACCTACCATTAGTATTGTCAGTTTACTAAATAGTGAATACCTAAATAGGTACAGTTAAAATATGCTGTATTAGCTTACGCTGTCGACTAAAGTCTACCCACAAGTCGGTCACTATTTGCCTTGAAGAGTTGTGCACACTTACAATTGAGTGACTTGCAAGTGACGTTGGTGATTTACGTGGAAATGAATCCCTGTGAAAAGCACCCACCGGGCCAAATATTGGGTAAAAACATTTAGATCGTGATCGTTTTTGAATTCGTAATTAAACTCAGACAAGTTTCCTGCATAATACAAAGACATTGATTTGGTGTTCTCTACTAAACAGGGGGTGGAGCTGTGGAGCAGTGGTTATAGCATTGGGCTTCGAACCAAGTCATCCGAGTTCAATTCCCGGCCATGGCTAACGTCATTGGCAAGTGATATCTGAACCAGTCCTGAGCCCCCTTCCCCCTTCAACCCACACTGACCATCAAGTTAAAGTATGGCTTAACAACCTCCATGACTGACACATTGTGAGATGGTCTTCATCGAGAATCAGATTGACAAAGGGCTATCCACTATATTGTTACTATGATCCATTTCACCTATATATATAATTTTTAAAAGACAGCTTTTAGTCTGTAGTCAAAATGAAACGATCACATCATGCAGTTGGTCTTCGTTTAAATTGAACTTGGTTGGACAGCGCATTCGTGCAGGACAGACAAATATGCATGACAGACAAACAAATAATCCCTGGTGGGCAGTGTCGAACCTGTTGTTCCTACCTGTAATATTGCATATATGCATAATCCAAACTGTATGCGGCTGATGCCTTCATCCAGCAGTGCGTTGACATGGGGTTGTGTGTTGCTAATCAAGTTATTCGGCTGAGGTGACCGATTTGTGTTCGCACTTGTGCGGCAGACATTCCTGAATCCCGTGTACGCGGGAAGCCTGGTGCCTACGTACGTGGTGCTGGTCGGAATGCTGCTGTGGGCATTCGTCGTAGCTGGGGGCACCCCGGAGAGCCTGCACCGCGCCCTCACCTGTAAGGGTTTGGATTATGGGCTCACCTCCGTTCTCATGCTGGATTGGTGCGGTGTGAGCGGTTGCTGTGAGCAATTGTTGTGAGCAGTTATCGTGTTTAAACTACACACTACTCGAACGTAAAATGATTACCTGTACAATTCTGTGAAGTATATATTATCAGAGTATGTTTTTTTTTGCATTCTGACCACAAATATTGTAGTTAATGCAGACATGATTCAATGTAAAAGGTTTCAGTTTGGTGTTTTAACATCTTAACACCTGTTTTGTTGCCAGAAAAAAGGGGAAACACTATTCTCACGTGTTTATGTACTTGGTTTAAGCACATTGTGTACTTGCAATGTAAAATTACCCAGACAGCATGGTGAGTAACCATCATCCGGGCAGTGGATTGATAAAATGGCTGTATAACATGTACATGAGTATAATGCGCTCAATGATTTGAGACAATAGTCATATTTTTGCGACTCAATACATGGATTTCATGCTGCAGACACCGTACCTGATATGTTGGTGGCAGTGTAAAACCGTTAATGCTAAGAGGTAATGATAGTTTTTAACTAGTGACAATTTTATTTTAGATTTACAGAGTAAGACAAAAAAAACCTACATCTTTAGCGACTTTGCATGGTATTACACAGTCAGCTACTGTCTAATTTCTTAATAGCATGGCACACTTAACATCACAGGATTGATTGAGAGGCTGTCATCAATTTACAGCCCCCACGTGCCTACTTAAAGTGCTGACTGGTGTTCTTGTATCCATCATAATATGCATAGTTATAGGACTTTCCGTAATGCAGTGTGGATACATAGACACCCACTTCTGTGGTGAATTTAAAGGAAAGATCGGGGCCGTTTGTGAATGTGTTTATTTATTTATGGTGTTTATTTAATTACTGCAAAATCTATGTTATCACAACATTGCCATCGGTGCAGTTTCCAGGCACTAAGCCGAGTTGTTTAGCACTTCTAAACATGCATTGCTGACATCCTGGGGCGCTAAGTGGGCCACATTCCTAACAGTGCTAATATTCACACTCTCATTCACAGGCAGCAAGGAAGCTGACTGATCCAGACATGGAAAGTACGGGAAGATGGAGCCCAGGATGGTGACTGCTATGTGCCGCTTTCAAAGATGGAATGCTCACAAGAAACAGGGTTGAACGTAGGAAAATGTACTAAATATATTCTGGACACTTGGTTTTGTATAAAGAGACAACAAAGTAAACGCATATTTTGCAATGGTCTTTTTGCAGTGTAAATGTTTCCAAATGGCTTCTGTCCAGAGACAGCGTTACTGCTCAGATGTCTAATCGAGCAGCAATAAAGCACAACACGGTTTTGGTAATGGCAATGATAGTGAAACTATTTTATGAAAATAAATGAAAGATATTTGTATTGCTATTGCAGATTGTATTCTGACATTTGCAAGTTATGTAACGAAAAATATATATTTCCAACAAAAGCAACAATTTAAAATACTTTTTTTAACCAGGTTTTTTTTTGTATTTATGTTTTTTCTGAGGCTTAAATTCTTGCCACCTCGGTTCTCCATGAACCATGCTTGCCAATTTGTAAACTAATTTTATTTCTTAAATCCCTCATTTGAAATACATTTTTAGTTGTCATTATAATAATGATAAAGAGGATTAATTTGTCTACTGGTTTTGAAATAAAACAATGCGATTCATCTGTTTTTATATTGTACAGAAGTTACTATGAGCGATGTGCTTTATCTGTAACGCAGGTTTCGCTTACCAGCAGTGGCAGCATTTTTTCTATTGGACAGGGAAATAGTGTGGGGCAGTAACATAGATTCAAGGCTGTGTTGGCATTCACTGTATTTCATTCATTGTTAACTTTGTCGTGATCACTGTATTATATTGTTTCATTTTTTTGCATCTCTTAAATACTTTATACACAGGAATAGCCCAAGATCTAAAAACGAGTGATGTGTTTTGATAACAAATGGTGTTAATTTTCCACACGTTGAAAGCATTGTACAACACCGCATTGTATAATATTGCATGAAATGTATTGCAGGATCATTTAACTTTTTTTTATATTGGACCACAGGTGTTGCAGGTGTTTAACTGCCTTGCGTAACACTTGATGTATTTCTGCAAATAAAGTGGTTGAGTATTGCATCGGGACCTCGTAGCAAGATACATATCAAGGTGTGCATCGTGCACAGAACAGTGCAAACACCTGTTCGATGCTGTATATACTTTTTGTCGTTATTAATTTTCGTCTCAGGACCATTTTCAGGAAATTACTGCTCTGCGTGCAACGACCTTCCTGTTTACAGTTCGAAACGCTGGCGATGTTCCCCATAGTTGTACCGGTGAACTCGAACAAAAAAACATTGACCGTGCACAAAAGTTTGAAACAAAAAACAACCCCAAAGGGACAACATTTATTTAATGAGCAGTGTTTTTTGCCGATGCCGTCTGCAGTCCGATAATTGTGTGTTCATGCTGAATACTGCAGTAAAAAAAAAATCTAAAGGTACGATGCATTGCCATTCACGTGCTTGGGGAATTCTGCTTGACTGCTTGTGGGGCCCTTGGTGCTTTCCCTTCGCACTTGGATGTCAACACTGCAAGTTACAATTCTGGTTCACCTGCCACGTGGTGAAGGATTTAATCACGGCGCGAAACTCGCTCTCGTGAGCTTTTCTGCCGGAGGACTTTGCCAAATAATCTTGTTATAAAGATTTTTTGAAGTGAATGGTTCAAGAACAAACATTACCTGGTTAACACATTCCTTTTCTGTTATGCTTTCACATTGTAAAAAAAAATGCTCAATGAAATAACTCGCAAACGTTTTTCTACATTTGTGCACAACTGCCTTATGTAAGCTTTTTGTTAAATAAAGTAAAAGCAATTGTGCCTTTTCGTATAAGTTCTTTGTATGTCCTGGTATATTGTCCGTCCCCGCACCTCCGATTCGCACGGTTGGATCCGTGTCTTGCGAAAGAAGTTCAATATACACACATGACCTAACAATTATTTAAATCAATTAAGGGTGTGTCCATGGCTCATAGATTACAACTGCTTCAGCAGTTATAGTTCACTGCCAAACAATTGTCACATATCTTATTGTGTAGTTAGCACAAGAGAACCAACTTTTCCCATTGAATGTGCTGTATACGTCAGTGATTTGAACATGTGAGACAAACTTTCATGATGCTCAACAATCTCCCAAAAAATTATGGCTGCAGTGGAAATAGTTTATGCCAGCACAGGACTCATTGAAATCTGTATTATTCCTAGATTCAAAGTAGATACATGACTTTTGCAGGACACCGGAAGCGTGACAAAGCCGCAAGCCACAACGCACGGCCACATTTTCAAGGCCATAAAAACAGTCTGGCTATTGGCCGAGGTGTATGATATTGTGTGAAGCCCTTGGGGTAATGTTAAATATTAAGTTGTGATGAAGTATGTAGGAACACCCTTTTCTGTCCAGGCACATATCTAGCATCTCGGGCATTGCGTTCTTAGTCCAAACACCTTTCCACCGTCCCTTCGAGCGATGTATCTTGCCCAAGCCCACTTACGTTTCTTAAGAGTCAAAGCAATGTCTCTATGTATGCTTGGAACTACGCCGAGAGACGGCAGAACACACGGGCGATGTGCAGCCTGAATATTTGATTATTCAATTGCCACTGTCCTAAGAATTTCACACAGAATGTGTTGGCCACAGCTGACGCACAGATAAATCAATCAGCATTTTGGCCCGATATTTGTGGACTTCACGAACAAACTAAACATACCCAAGTTAAAATTCAGTTCTAGCGGTAAAGGTTAAACTTCGAGCTTAGACATTGCACAACTGTAATTTTGGAAATGGAAAACCAAAAAAACAATTGACACAGATGTTAATATAAAAAAATTTGAAATGGGAAAAAAACAAAAAAAAAACAATTGACACATGTTACTATAAGAACACTTATTATGGTTTTATAAGCTAAATCATGATACATTTTACACCACGTGCAATTATAATCCATTTATTAGAATAAAGTTATCACATACGGCTGAGGATGACAACATTGCCCGTTTTAAAAATCACGATACCTTATCAAGTGTCTCGCAGGAGCTCCACATTTTGAGCCACAACATTAAAGAGGCAGAACGGGGAATGCGGAGGGGGTCGGCCTTCTCTGTTTTGCAATGACAAAACACGGCCCCGCCTCGAGAGAGGAAACAAACTCTTAGAGAGAAAGCAAATGCCACATACCCTGACATTATTGCCGCACAAACAAAACACGCACGGGTACATTGTGCACGTGTGTGCACAACGCGGTGTAAAGTTACGCTTAAGCGTTTGGCTGAGGCCACGTCCTGGTCACGGTGGGTCAATCCAGGTGAGTGTGCGTCCCACGGTCGCAATGTCACCACGAGAGCTGCCACGCGGTGGTGGTGGTGGTGGGGGGGTTTCGTCGACTTGCCTGCAACATGGCAATGCAATGGATGACATGTTGATGTAAAGCACTTTCAGTTGCTAAGGCTATATGGAGAGGCACTTGAGGCTTCAGGCAGACAGCAATACCCCCATCAGCTGACGCTTAAGCCCTCCCAGCAGAGGCCGCCAGTGACGATGAAAATAAAAGCACTCTGTGGCTTTGGCGTCATCTAATTGCGTTTGTGCAGAGAGTGCGACGCCCTCAGATGTGAGCGTGCCCGAACAGGGCTTTCACACCAAACCATACAGCGCACAGTCGTGCACAGGGTGGTGGTGGTACAGGTGTCTTGTGACCCGGCAAATTAATTGACCCCTAATTTTTTTATTTTTCCTTTGCTCATTTGTTTCTATCTTGATTTGAAGCTTTCGTGACTGCAGGAATCCATACTCTTTGGTTCTTTCGTTAAAGTCACGTAGGTAGAAAAATGAAGGAAAACTAAAAAAAATATTTCTCACGACGTTTCGATCGCAACACAAGCGGGTCGTCCTCAGGCGGAAAAAATAATCCAGCAATGGAACTAACTACTGAACCAGCGAGATTTTTTTCAACCATATCAATTCCATACACCCATCCATCAAATTCACCATGGAAGTGGAAAATGATGGTAAGCTATCATTCCTGGATGTTTTGATCGAGACGAGGCCTGATGTCTCGTTGGGACATTCCGTCTGCAGGAAAGCCATCCACACGGATTCCTATCTAAAGCCTGACTCCCACCACCATCCGGCTCAGAAGAAGTCCTTCATCAAAACACTACACCATAGGGCCCGTTGCGATCGAAACGTCGTGATATATTATTTGTTTCTGTTTTCATAGCCAATAGTGTACAAAAAAAGATGACGTTTTATAGAATGAAACGGGAGTCACAAGACATATGGACCACGCTGTATATAGGTTCTGCACCTGTTCTGGTTTTTTTTCCCAGGACATCCCTCTCTGTGAGGAAGCCATCCCGATAAATCTTGTAGTCGTTGCAAGACAACGATTATACGACTAGTTTTCTCCTATATTCTTGGTTCTTTCGGTAAAGTCACGTAGAAGGGAAATAATAAAAATTTAACAATAAAATTCTCACGACGTTTCGATTGCAACACAAGCAATCATCATCAGGTGTGAAAACCACAACAAGAAAATTAGAAAAAAGTGGCGTTGCTGTGGATTTCACACCTGATGATGATTGCTTGTGTTGCAATCGAAACGTCGTGAGAATTTTATTTTTCATTTTTCATACTTTATTATTTCCCTTCTACGTGACTTTACCGAAAGAACCAAGAATATGAATCCCTGCAGTCACGAAAGCTTTAAATCGAAATGTAGTTTTCCCCTCTTCTGGTATTATGAGATACCTTTCTTTCCACGATATGCCCCGCATTTTGTGTACCTCCTAAGGTGGCAATCATAAATGACGCCCCCCCCCCCCCCCCCCCGTTTTTAAAAGACGGACCAAAGTACTCTCGCCCATGCAGAACCTGTTTTGCCAGATTTACAGTCACCAGACCCATGTGGCTGAAATTCTCAACCCGATTGCATTCAAAGTCTCGTCACTGTACTCTGCAAATTGATCCAAACTCATTGTTGAAATTCTTTTTTGGGCAATTTAATCGCAAAATTAATTCGCAAATAAAATGTTGCAATAACTCGGTTTAGATATAGAAGCATTTAATTTAGACAAATATAGCACTGTATTATGTAGTACTCCAATGATTTTTTTTTTCAAACAGCATAACATACTTACAGCATTTTTAAAACTTACTTCATATGCAATACACAGTATATATGAAGATCCTTATGCATCCTAATATTCATATAATATCTATTAAATCTACGAGCTCTCCATGGTTATAATGACCTCTTACTTTGCTCATGACCGTTATTAAGCCACACACAGACTTCCGTGACAGTCCTAAGCCTTATGGGACACAGCATGTGCAATCACATAAAGCAATAGAGCACTTTGGATAACTTCACCCGGCAACCCACATTAGCATTCACTACAACCGCCCACTAACCCGAATAATATACAACCACTATGTATCACTGCCAAATTAACACGCGAATATCTTTGATGATATTTGTCAAACACTTTTGCAGTAATATTACATTCAGTGAATAAATAGTGGTCCCGAATTAAAATTAATCAAACGAGTTGTTCAATTCGATAAGTGGCATCGAATTGTATGTGGCGTGCATATGTTTAAGATACATGAGCGTGACTATGACCTTTTCTGTGACAGCATGACTCAGGCTATATAGATTTATTTTAAGGCGTCCAGGATGCAATGTCTAGCTTGCATTATGAAATAGGCGAAAGTCATTAAGTCTGATGTACAGGTTTCTTGCGTTTAACTTCACAGTACTTAATAATATACATGTCCGAGATCGATATACCCTAACGTTCTGGACCAGTGGACCACTATCAACCATCAAAATATTTTTCGCGGACAACCATTCACCATAAAAAAAACACTTGTTTGAAAATGAAAACGAGTCTAAAACTGTTAACTTAAAATCCATTCAAAAAGATGCACTTGCTTTTTATTTACTCGATGACCATTGCTGCTCCAGCTACGACAATGCGTCAATGTACAACGTGACATCGGTAGTCGATGCTGGCAGATTCTGCCAATAAGCCAGCTGTGCTGATTCATTATTAATGCGATCTACTTACATTAGCTGTGCAATGGGCAGTGAGATACATGATGTTTCGTGAAGAAGAAAAACTACCCAGTAGTATCTGCAACAGTTCCGCAGCCCATGAAACTATTTGACTGCTGACTTCATATGAAGAAGCACTGATGGCGTAGAAATAAACTGGTTGAGTCAAGTTTAACAACGGCAAAAGCTTTCATGTGACAGGGTTGTGTTATTGCTGATTTTTTTCCCATAGAAAATCTGCGACTCCGAGGAAAATAAATCTAGCGTGGGTTTGCACATTATTATTCACGAAGTGGACAAATCTATTTATTTAGATATATATTATACTGCACTGAATTTGTATAAAACTACATCTACTGATTTGAAACTAAATGCACAGTTCACAATTGGTCTCTTTTAGGTTAGGTCGTTTAAAAATGTGTGTCGTAAAAGTTCTTAAAATGGCAACTTCATTACAAACACAATACACCTTAACGTAATTGAAGATTTTCTATTTTCACCAATGACTACATAGTTTCACCTAACCTGCCAATCACAACCAATCAACTAGATTTGTAATTATTTAACTAGATGCCATGCATGACTGTGCCGATGAGTTCATGGCATCTACTAAAGGACCTGGATCAGGAAGCGATTTGAAGATCCGAGCTCCTATTAATAACCTGATGATCAGTTTAACACGTAGGCTTTCGCGACCAATGTTATTCATAATCAACGTTTTTGGGTTTAGATCGCGTTATTTATAAATGTGTCGTAACCCTCCACCACCCGACACGGCCAATCAGTAAAAAAGTGTCACGTTGACAAAAGACAAATAGTTCACTGCTTTAGCCCACCGGTGTGTTGAAGCCACAACATTTACAATTTGAGTACGACGTTTCGCTGGTAATTGCATCCAGCATCATCGGGCAATTCGCTGGATGCAATTACCAGCGAAACGTCGTACTCAAATTGTAAATGTTGTGGCTTCAACACACCGGTGGGCTAAAGCAGTGAACTATTTGTCTTTTGTCAACGTGACACTTTTTTACTGATTGGCCGTGTCGGGTGGTGGAGGGTTACGACACATTTATAAATAACGCGATCTAAACCCAAAAACGTTGATTATGAATAACCTGATGATGCTGGATGTAATATCCCGTGAAACGTCCGTACCCATTTAAACGCTGTGAGATTACTCTCCAACAACCACACCGGTGGCGCTCCTGCAGCAGTAATACATCTGGAACATTCGATTCACGTGACACTTGTATTAATTAGTTGTGGCGGTGGAGGAGGGCTTACGACATGTATTTTCACACCACCTAACGCAAAATAAACTAATTATGAATCATAATATTGGTCGTGAAAGACTAAGTCTAACTAAGTCTAAAATTGAACACGTTTTTTTGTTATTTCCAAGAACAAAGAACCGAGTCCAAAAAACCCAAACCGCACGCTTAACATAAATTCCACCACAATCCTAAAACTTGATCTCCCAGTACAATCTCAGTTGTCGGCATGACATTCACTTAAAAAAAAAAACCTTCAGGAGACATTTCTTGACCACAAGGATGTTGACTTTGCTGCAGTGTCAGTTGCACACATCCCGAGGGAGCCCACAGCTAACAAAGAACCTCGCTCGAAAAGCCAAAGCAGAGAGTGGAAGAGCTCACACATGAGCCCACACTTTGCCTTCCCCGGTGGCAGGTGTGGCTCATTGCCTTCTGCGCGTGACAAGAACAAACATCTCACGCTTGAATTTCGATTTAAAGCTTTCGTGACTGCAGGGATTCATCTTCTTGGTTCTTTAGGTACAGTCACGTAGAAGAAAAGTAATAAAATAATAAAAATAAAACATAATAAAATAATTCTCACGACGTTTCGGCCACAACGCAAGTAGCCGTCCTCAGGTGAAAACCAGGTCTGTCGAGGAGACAGCGTCTGAATGAAACAGCACCACGTGCTTGCGTTGTGGCCCGAAACGTCGTGAGAATTATTTTATTATGTTTTATTTTTAATTTTATTATTTTATTACTTCCCTTCTACGTGACTTTACCGAAAGAACCAAGAAGATCTCACGCTTGGTCTTAAATTAACCCCTTGAGCGACATCTGCTTTGGATGGATGCGGCAAACCCATGTGGCAACTCTTCACGCCCTCCGAGTGAATTCGTCAACATCTGACGGATACTTCCCGGCAACGATGCTTTACGACGGCCGAGTCAGAAACCGGCTATAAACATGTGTCCCACACTCACCCGAAGGTTTCAGTTCAAAAGGCAGTCCATGAACACGGCTTTTAAACTAATAAGGTGTTTGAAAAACAATACAATTAGAGAAATGGTAACTTCGCAATAAAATTGTGCTCCAATGAATGGCAAGAGTGGTATATGTTTAGATATCGTGCAGAAAGTTCCAGGTTTGACCTGGGTTTACGTGTTTCAAGCGTCGCTCAATGAAGGAGATTGGCAAGAGGGCGAAACGGTTGAGAAAAGCATTTCAAGAAAGTTCTCGTCATTAGCGAAGCTGGGAGTGATAATGCGTTAGCTGAAGCCATTTGGGTTTTACCGCTGGCTTCTAAGAAAAAATAATAGTGATTACGATGGTGTAAAGGTGCGCCATTTACACACTGTTCGTGACACTGCGAGTCAAGGTGTTCCCCTTTTCCCACAAGCACCCGGCACATGCCTCCACGTTCCAGGTGTGCGCGTCACCCCACCAACACGCAATCTGAAAATCGACTAACAACGGTGTGGTCATGTTATCGGCTTATGACATAGCAACCATAATAACGGCAATGGTGATAATAGAAGGACTGAGCCAGTTCGTTCTTGGCACCTTCATTGGGAGCATCGGGATCAACGCTCACCCTCGTTCCACCGTCAAATCTGGACACCGTCGTGGTTAGCGGCCGGTTTGTAGATAACGTCGCGTTTGGTGGCAGACTGTCTGGACCTGTGGGTGATACAAAAAAAACAATGTACAAAACCAGACTGTAGTCTAAACAATTGAAACATTACCTGTCATCACGAGTGATCATTGCAAACTATTTGAAATCGTTTTACGTATTTTATTGAAAATTACAACCGTGAAATTACTGCTATAATTCATGATTATGTTATCATTGTCGACTATGACCATATCAAAGCTATGATCTCAGAAGCTAAGCAGTTGTTGCACCTGCTTAGTGTTTGAATAAGCGAGCAACAAGGCTTGCCAGGTGTTGTAGGAATGTGAAGTAGCCAGGAGATTGATTAAGTGCTGAGTGTCATAACCTCATATATATTTGTGTTTTCCCCTCGTATTCCAGATTCCTTCCACAAATCCAAACAGTTATTCATAGAATTTGTCAAACATCCGAAAGTGGGTTCCTCCAGAAAAAAAGCATTGGACTTAGTGAGAATTTCCTGAATAAATTACGAGCATGTATATATATTTTATTATTATAGTCCCCTTTATCACCAATTATAAAGGCCACTTTCTATGCCAATGGATCTTTCAGCTGCAGTTCATCATACAGCCAGGATTATCCTGTAATTTAACATCCAAATTATACCTGGCCTTTTACAGCAACGCTCCAGTGACAAGGTCACCGAACAAGGTAGAGTAGCAAATGAAGTTGATTAAGGCCATGATAGCTCATTGTGCTCACAATCATCACAAGGGTGCAGATACAAGTCCTAGTCGGGGTTAACTCTACCCATCACGAGCACTGTAGAAATAAAAACTATTGTTGTGTTAAATGAAGACAACCTCCCCCCACCAGAGGACTGTGGAATTTCCACCACTATCTCTGCATCACCTATTGAGAACGGGCAGCGGTGTTGGGTCAGTACCCTCACCGCCGAACTACTAATCCACTGGTTGCCATTACGATGCTCCTCCAAAGGGTCTACTACAACCACCAAGAAAACCAAAACTTCGCGTTGGCCACCCAACCTAGAACCAGGTTTGCGCCCCGTCATTGAAAGTTTCCGATCACGACATTTCCGCGATCTGTCCGTACGTTTTGCGTCTTTGGGAGAAGCAATAAATGACCAGGACGACGAAGCAGATGACGAAGAGGATGCCGAAGATGATGGCAAGGATGTCACCTGCACGCACGGCGCATACACCAGCAGGGTGAGTGGGGAGGCATCGTGCACACTCAACGAGACGATAGAATTTTGGAATGCAGTCCACCAATTAATCATGGTCAATTAATTGAAAATCATACTTAATTAATTATAATTGACCACAAGTGAAGCCACAAATGCATATGGAACGTAGAAACAATATGTAAGGTTTAAAGTTTAACTTTTTAATCAGAAAAAGTGATAGATAGGTAAATGTAGAGGTGCATCCCTGTACATTGTTGCCAACCCCATTGCTGATGGAAAAGCCTCCCATAACAGGTGCTCTAGATGGTACTTTGGCCTATTCTTCCATGCTGATCACGTGTCTTGGAAGAGGTGTGAGTATCTTCTACACTTTGCCCAACCATACGTTACCTAGCGATTGACGAATTGGTGTTCCCATTCATATACCGGGAGGAAGACAAAGGAGGTGGGATTTCAGAAACTTGCCCATCATTTCAATTGCCGCAGGAGGAGATCAAATCGGCGGTGTCTCGCTTACACCTGTGAAAAAGAGCTTTGTAGCTCAAAGGATTCCTCCAGTATAAATACATATTCTTATTCTGAAGCCCGGTGTGATAACCATTGCACCACAGCAGGTTCCCTTTTAACCATGTATTTTCTTTACTATGACACCATCTGGCAACAAACTGGAGATGGTAATCAGTGCTGTGCTTGCGATACGTCAACACTGCGTATAATGCGTTGCCAACTGAGTTCACTTACCCACACGCAGTCCCTTTGGTCCTGGAACAAAGACAGAAAAACCATAAAATAAACAGGCGTTCAGTGACACGTGGCTCACAGAGCTGGCCAGCACGCACCTGTGTGCGGAAGTGACGAGGTTAGGCGAGACAACCACATACCGTGTCAACTCGTACGGTTTTCCCGTATTCTTCTACAGGGAAATTGAGTTTTCAGGTCCATATGGCATGCAGCCGTTTCAATACGGGCAAAAAAAAGTCTATTTGTTTGCGTTTCTCCCTTGTGATGGGACTTTGTAAGATGAACGGTGAAATGTATAAGGGGCACGGGGTGACCGATAAGGTCTAAATTGGCCTGTAATAAGGTAGGCGCTGATAAGGGGTTGACAGGTATGAAGGACCGCACACAATGCGGTTATGAGTGAATATGGATTCGCACAACGATGCTAAAATGCGACCGCTTTACAAATTGCTGTGCGGACAGCTTAGGCGGCGTGTTTAGGTCACAGAGACAGGTCTGGAAGCCGGGACTTTAACATGAGCAGGCGCGTCCACAGGGGGAAGGGAGTTCCAGACCATGAGGGCAGCGCAGCAGAAGGAGTGACGTGCTTGTTGGAATTTTTAAAAATTCAATCCAAGGGAAAACGGATCCAACAAATTTAATAATATACAGCCCTTTGTCAATCTACTGCTGGAGGAAAGCCTCCCCATACAGTATTGGCCATGGGAGTTGTTTGACATTAGCCCTGGATGGGAATTGAACTGAAGAAGCACGGTTCACAAGTAGTGCATGAGCCACTGCGCCACCACTCCATTACGAATTTGATGTGTCAATAGGGAATACCCAATTAAACATTACAGCTCGTTTGTGCCCGTAAAATGTGCCAGTCAATTGGCTCATTTATGGAAAAGGACATATATATATATATTTTAAATGTACTGTGTTGACAGTTTGGATTTCATGCTTTCAAAAAAATCTACAGAGCCCCTCCCAAAAGTAAAGCCGATGACACAATATAAAGGATAATTAAATAAAAAAACACATTTATACAAGCTCTGTCTCCACTTGCATATCGCATCATGGCGGGCCCTCGATAGAGAGGTGCAAAGACAAGGGTAGAGATCTCCCATATAGCCTAAACAGACTGTTGGGGCAAGTGTTGGTATTGAGCACCTACAGTATGAAGGTCGGCACGGCACACGAGGGGGTGGGTGGCCAGCACCACGCCCGGCCGCCTTTGTCTCCCCAATGGCGATGTTTATCACCAGGTACTCCTTTTAGGCTGAGTTGACCTAGGGGAGGCCCATGACCAGTTCAGATAATTGTCCCTGGTGTTGGGCGTGAGCAGGAATTGAACTCGGGTCGCCGGGTTCATAGTGCAGCGCGCTCACCGCTCACACAACCAAATGAGCCTTGATGTCTTGCGTTCTTGATACTGCATGGCAATTATACAAGGCAACCTGTAATCCCTGGGCTGGGATAGAATCTGAGCTGCTGCACATGTTACTGCTGGCTGATTACACAGACTAATCACATTGGCTGTGCAGTTCCCCAAATGCGTTGTATGCTCGCTCATTACTTGTAATGAGGGCGCGCTGGCTTTCTCGGGCAAGATGATTTTTGGCAGGACATCCTTGCCGTGGCTGTCTTTGGCTGGCCACAACTATGGAGCAACCGGAGGCAAGTTCTCTGCGCGAGGCCTTCTGCGGTGCACCACCCCGTGCCAAGTTGTCTTTGGCAAAACCACTTCCGCAGGCTGCCGCTTGCGATCGACTTTCTCACAGAACTCCACAAAACCGGGCATGCCCTCCTTTTAAGTCACCGACGATCTCTTGCGCTTTCTTTTTTTTATTACAACTGGCAGTTCGGAATTTTCGATGAAAGAGAAAAGAAGTGGGCGAGAGTCACGGTGCGAGTGCTGCAAAATGCCGAATCGCAGCGTAAAGAGGACGGCGCCCAGGTGACACCAGGTGACAGCGGCATCACCCGTGGTTGCCCTGTCCCTGCGCCGTATCGGGTAATTCCTCATGTCGTATCAGCTTAGGGCGCCACGCATTCTACAGCGCCACGCATTCTACAGCGACCAGGGCCGTGGGCTTGTGGGGGACCGACACCGGCCGAGGTTTATGAAGGAGGCGATGGAGGCGGCCAGTTTGAAGGGTGGCCTGGACAAGTGCCAGTGCCGCACAAAGAGCTCATTATGTTACTTTACTGCGCTGCATTGCTCAACGGATTTTTGACGAGCTTACTCTGTAAACAAAAATAAAGACCTGGACACACCGCCACACTGCCACTGTTCCACCCCCCATTCCACATAACACAAGCTCACCGCTCATCCCTGCTCAACACTGTCCTCTCCGTGATTTCTTTAATCGGTTATCCATGACCCTGGTTTTTAGGGCCGACTGTGAGCTCCTTGACAATGCAATGTACGTAACATTGTTTGGGAGACGGGAAATCTATTTGTATTTTGTTGCAAACAGAAGTGAACTCATAACAAGGTTCTGAGGGGGTGCGGGGGGGGCACGGAGAAAGATACACCCAGCAAACTCGAGGTGGCATGGCGCTTTTCATTAAAATTGCCCGAGTCTTTTAAATCGATGTGCCAATGTAACACAATTATCTGGTCTGAAATGCAACGGCACATTGCGAAATTAGTTTACACGTATCCAATATAAAACTAAAAACTAAACTATATTTGACCAGGTTAGACCCACTGAGCTATTTAGACGTGACCTGACCAGAAATGAGAGCTCAGCGAAGTGATGTATCATGTGGAAATTAATAGCAGCCAAATACTCTAAACGCATGTTTATAAATGTGGAGGTGAAATTATATGGCACCCCATATAATCAACAGGAGATTCTGAATCCGAATACCGAAATGTTCGGTGGGGAGCCAATTGTGGGGAGCGTGTACCGGTATACACGTGCACACAATCGCCCGGTCGCAATGCTGGAAGGAGTCGTTCGAGCAGGCTCAGTGCCGTAGTTTACCAATTTCTATGAGAATCCTTCGCGGAATGTGACCAATCAAGCCACTGTCACTGCTCCCTCTTAATCCACACTTGCACCACCTACATCCGCACCCCCACCACCGCCAACCCGCACAAATCCCCAAGGGGCAGCCAATTTACTGCAATCACCCAAGCGCTCGTATGAAGCCATCATGGCCTGCAAGAGAAAGAGGCACATTTATGTATAACACCATAGCGCCCAGGCCAGGCATAGCTGATTCTTTTAGCCTTCATCAAGCTGGGAACACAAGCCACTAGAAATTAAATGGGACTGCACCAGACCATTAACTGGTATTCAGCAACAATGATTTGTGATACTGCATTGCCAGTTGTGCACCATCACAAATACCGAAAACTCAACACACATGCGTGACATTTCAGGCAATGTCCCTTCTCTGGCTGTGAATAGTTTTTTACTGGCATTGGATGCCTGCGATGGAAAACATAGCATGACTCAATCTTCCTCTTTGTGGATCGAGTCTTCGATTCTTAGAAGGGAAACTCAAAACTTAGCAGACCCCCCCCCCCCTTCAACATTCTTGATTTCCGTAAAAATAGCAGTGGGCACCAGGTACCAAACGTATACGTCCGCTTGCGTGTTCTCGCACTCTCTGTCTTGGCATCCCAGACATCAGAGGTCACTGCAGCACTGTAGTACCATTCGGGGGGGTGCTGGAGGGGGCTGAGCCCCCCCACCTGCCCTGCTATAGGCTCAGTCACCTTTCCAGGATAAATTGTTAAAGACAAGTCTAAATAAATCGTCGCGTTATTTAACTATCTAACACCATTGGCAATGAAGTGATGGGTATCGCAGCCTTTCCTCGTATACACAGCGGCTGAGAGCTGGAACAGTTGGTAGATGAAAGCAAATCGTGGGGCTTTTGCGTGGAGGCTTCACTTGCGCTCACGGGGTACACCATTCTGCAGGAGCCCCACAGTACTTGGAGCGCACTGTCAGGCACAGAGGTCGCAAACGGGTTTTGATTCCTTATCCGTACCCGTACCCGGCCGCACCAGGGTCGCAAATGGGTACCTGTACCCATACCCGGCCGGGTATGGGCACCCGTACGCTACCCGTACCCGTACCCTACCCGAAATGAGTGATAAACGGTTACTCACCAGTGACTCACGGCCTACCCGTACCCGTACCTGGCCGGGTACGGGTAGCCGGGTATCGGGTAGGGTACGGGTATCAGGTACCCGGTTGCGACCTCTGGTCGGGCTCCATGCCGAACACCGTACGGCTACAGCCCAGAGAAACACGCCGGCGAGCTATGGAAGCAAGATCACATGTCCTTAGCTCACTCCGTTTAGCGTTCACATTTGTTTTGAAGTTTCTTTAACGCGGACTGTCATATTAACTCTCCCCCCAACCGTGGCTGCGTATGACCTGCCCTCCTTAAACAAGGTCACACGCCTGGATTGGGCTGGTTTCAGCTGCCGTTGAGAACATGAGTCAGAGCTTAAGGCCGAAGAGGCTCGGAGCAAAGGGTAGGGGTCAACTAGTAATGGGTAAACGGGAAGGACTATGGATAAGCTCCTGTTAAGGGGTGGCAGAGGAGCCATAAAACTGCACTGCACTCTTGGAGAAGTAACAATCAATGAACAAACTTGATGTGAAGCTTTCGTGACTGCAGGAATCCATACTCTTTGGTTCTTTCGGTAAAATCACGTATGTATAAAATTCTCTTAAAAAAATAGATCACGACGTTTCGATCGCCACACAAGCAATCGTCCTCTATCCCACCTGAGGACGATTGCTTGTGTGGCGATCGAAAACATCGCGATCTAATTTTTTTTCTACCTACGTGACTTTACCAAAAGAACCAAAGAGTAATAAATGAACACTTGCGACAATTTTACAGAATAATACATTATCAACACTCTGCTACGGAGAAGTGCCATCGGCCAAAACATAACCAAATATATTGTTTTTTCCGATTTAAAGCAGTGTTATTGACAAACGTGTTGAGTTTTGTTTTTGGCTATTTGTGTGTGTGCACCACTGCCAATGCTTTATGCCACG